GGGGATTCCTGGGGCAGCAAGAACGAATGTGCCCTTCTTCTCCGCAGCTGTGACACCGCACGGCTAGTGAGCTACTCCTGTGTGCTCCTGGGGTTGGTTCCTCGGAGGACGGAGGCTTCGCAATCTTCACTACAGGAGGGGAAGACTTAGGGTAGGCGTTGCGAGCAGACGCCCAGTTGGCGGCAGACGAACAGCTTCTCCAAGTGTTGCTGGCTGGTGTTCTTTGATGAAAATTCTCATCTTTTTTTTTTTTTTTTACGGGAATTAGCCCACCCGGGCACAGGTCAAACGACCCACAACGGAGCCTGCGGGGCGAAGAAAAAAAAACGGAAAGAAATTGTAAATTCAGAAAAAAAGGTTATACTGTATTAATCTACACCACGAAGATGCCGGAAAACCAGCTTTTTAAAGTGAGACAGATTGTAAGAGCATGGAAACACAGAAGAAGGCAGAGCATTCCACAGTTTGGCTGTGTGAGGAAAGAAGGTGATAGAGAAGACAAAAACTGATCTAATATCATGAAGTTAGAGAGAGACTCAAAGGTTTCTTCAACCTCTGATGCCTCTAGCCATTGTTGAAACAAACGACCCAGGTGAATCGAAAACTGCTGGTACGTTTCTCCTGCTCTGATCTTCGTTCTACGGAAATCAACACGATAACCGTCAGAAGTCTTGTTAAATCCTCGCAAGAGAGCTTGCTTCAACAAGAAGTAATCTCTGGTGATGTCGGCAGACAGGGACGTGTAAATCTCTACCGGCTTACCACTCAGTAGCCTACCCAACCTTACAGCATAGCTATCTGGGTCCACACCAAGCAGCTCGGCTACGCGTTCAAGCCTAACAAGGTAGGAGGCGAGGTCTTCTCCTTCACGGTACACAGGCAAGCTGGGTTTTACCACATTGTCTTGTATATGGCCAGAGGATTCTGGTCTACTTGAAGCATTAATCCTAGCTAGTTCTAGGTCCTTTTCTGCCTGCAACTTAGCTAATTCGAACTCTCTTTCTCTCTGACGTTCCTCCAACTCTCTTTCTCTCTGACGTTCCTCCAACTCTCTTTCTGTCTGACGTTCCTCCAACTCTCTTTCTCTCTGACGTTCCTCCAACTCTCTTTCTCTCTGACGTTCCTTTCTAGCTTTCTGACGTTCCTCTCTCTCGGCATTCTGTTGGTTGACCACTAACTGACCAACCTCAGTACCTGTCAGACCCAGGGCCACAACTTGACCTTTCAACTCCTCAAATTTACACATAATGATCCGAAAGGCCAAGAGCAAAAAGAAAATGCACAACTTACCCCGCAAATAGCCAAAGTTAACTTACCTAGTGGCTCAATCAGACCAATAAATGATTTGATCCGACTGGAGGGAACCTTGTTCCGCACCCAGCCCAGCTGAATCACTCTCGGGATAAAAAACCGCACCAGGTGAAACAACAAAAATGCTATGACAGCATCCACAGTGCACCGCAACCAACACTAATTAACTTCCCCAAGTACAAGGGAGAGCAACAAAATTAGCACAACAGAAGGAGGGGATAAGCACTGAACAACACTTACTTCCGGGCCACAGACAGTAAGTGACGCGCTCACGGCGACTTGCAACAATACAGGAACGAATGTTAGCCCTCAGAAACCAAAGGTCAGAGACAATCCTGGCAAGGTCGCCACTTGTAAAAGCCTGGGACTTAGGGATAGAAATCCCTTACCAGACTAATTAGGATCTTAATAAAGGAATGTCAGGGACCATGGTTTTCTGAGGAATAACAAACAACCGTTTGAGATTGACATCTCTTTCTTATAAAAAAATATAACACAAAACTCCGACACCACTCAACGAACATCAAGTGACAATTACGGGAGTCAAACACTTAATGCAGTAAACAGTTAATTGAGTCAAATAATTAAAGGAAGCAAACAATTAATGGGACTCAGCAATTAAAGGAATCAAACAATAAAATCAAACAATGAACAGATATTTCCAACGACAGTGGCCCTGGGGAAGGTTCCAGAACACAATAATCCACTCTCAGGGGGAAGCGTCCGTTCAACCTCACTCCACTAGAGCAACAGCGGCCGATGTCTTGATACAGCAGACGAAACACCGGGGCACAGACGGTGGAGAGGAGCAGCGGTAGTGGTTGATGTCCAGAGCATTGACAGTCGACAAATGAGGGTCTGGGAAAATAGCCCACTAGTCCAGAACTTATGATGAGATCACAGCCGGAATTTGACGAACAGCCGGGTAGCTAGATCGTGACTGTATGGCGGCTGGGATGAATCTGCCAGTGACACCGGTAGCCGCTGCCGTTCTCACCTCCGTCCAACCGCCCCAAGTGTTGGTTGCACCAGCAAACGAGAGAGTTAGCAGCGGTAACGAGCAGGAAGATCGTTTCCGTCCTTACAATCCCATGTTCGAGCTACTCTCTGAAAGCATGTGCTACCACTGGATCCTCCAGATGCTTAGTGTTAAAACCTCTTCTGGAGGCTTGTTGCCTTCTCTGTTTTGGGGCGACGTGAAGTGAGTTCTTGGTTCTACCGAGCCAATGATCAGTATCTCAGTGGTCTGAGCCACGCATAGCTTGGGCGATGAGGACATCTCGGTGGTCTCCTTCTTAGACAATGATGTAGTCAATGAGATACCAGTGTTTAGATCGTGGGTGTTGCCACGAACCTTTGAACTTGTCGGCTTGCCTAAACATGGTATTGGTGATAGTGAGGTTGTGTGCAGCACACTTGCTGAGGAGGAGCTGGCCATTGAGATTACACTTGCTTAGTCCACTTCTCCCTATGATTCCCTGCCAAATGTCACCATCTCTGCCAAATCTGACATTGAAGTCACCTCGGAGCACAACCTTATCTTCTCTGGGGATAGGGGTTAACGCTCAGTCAAGGACGGAGTAAAAGGCCTTCTTTATGTCATCCTTTACATCCAGTGTTGGGGCATGTGAACATGAAGAAGGGATGACGTGAGTGATTCAATGAGACTCGGAGCGTCACGAGGCGCTCATTGATCCCACCGGGCATTTCAGTTAGCCTATGAAGGATGCATTGGCAAATGGCAAAGCCAACCCCATAAAAGCTTTTTCTTTCTGTGAGTCGACCCTGGTCTGGGAGCTGGGACTCACTAATGGCTGCTTTGTTGATGGTATACCTAGCCAGATCTTTTGCTACAAGAGCGTTTCTTCTTTCAGGACGCTCATTATATTTTGTGCCAGTATCCAGAAGGGCCCTGACATTCTATGCGGCGACCATAAGAGGTTACATAGTTTGTTTTGTTTTGATCTGTGATTATGATCGTGTTTTCGACCGCATAAGGGTGACCTTACTGGGTGTGGTTGCCCAATCAGGTTGGTTGGTTCTTTAGACAGGCCAAGCTTAGGGTCACCTTTTCTCGCCCCCTCCCCATGTGGGGTGAACAGAGTGGTTCCTCGAAAGGGCTGCTTTGTCGCACAGACAGGACCGGATTTCACTGCTACCTATCTCCCAGTGCATAAATGACCATCTTATCTGTGCCGCCCATGTGCAGAGTTGTGACTAGAGATTCCCGGGAGTCATCTCTGCCTGTCCCCGTCGCCACTCGTCCGTCGCCATAGGACTTTTGGGGGTGTAAGGGTTTTGATGATGACGAGAGGTATGATGAGCTGGAGGATGGCTGCACGTGAATTGATTTATGTGGTGAGGCAGTAGCGCAGGCTGCAACCACACATCTTGGTTCTCCCTTTTCCTGATTCAGTGGTGAAGGTGTTGCAACGACTGTGGAGAGGGAGAGTTGCAATGGATTGCCGATAGCCCAGTTTGTTGGGTTTCGTCGTAGTAGCCTGTTCATAACACTTTGCTTTCATTCGCCGGTGTAGTCGTTGGTGGTCACCTCTTCTGCCTATAATGCGGTTGGTGTCTTGTTGGAGCTCTGTTATCTTGTCTGCTTGATGCAGGTCAACACTGCAGAATTTCGCTCAGGGTTTACTTTTGTAGCCTTATAACTACCAAGGTTAATCTGCAAGGCAGAGAGGCAGTGGTTAGTAAGCGCCAGGACGTGCCCACATGCCAGTGGCCCAATGCGTCTTCCCTCTGGGGCTCATTGCTGCTCCGAGATCCTCTGCTGGTGTAGCCTGGGCCCACGAGGCATCCATTTACCGGGTGTTGCCACAAGGGGGCACAGCAGGAGTCTTCATGGTGAAGCGGCTATGTATTGGCAGGGGAGAACTTATGCAAGTTGCTTCCCTGTTTGCCACAAGGGCTAGCCAGCGCCGGTAGCTGAAAGCGAGAGGAAGCAAGCAGTGCTTGCATCTTAACACTAACATAATGCTGTCACACACGCGCACACCACACACACACACACACACACACACACACACACACACACACACACACACACACACACACACATTGCCGTTTGGAGACACATTTCTGCAACTGTATATATATTGTATAATATACTGTACTATATATAAAAAAATTTTTTTACGGGGAATAGACCAATCGGGCACAGGTCATCGACCCACTACAGGGCCTAGGGGCGAAAAAAAAATAAAACTATATTAAAAATATAAAAAGAAAAAGATTATATAATTTACATTACGAAGATGCTGGAAAACCAGCTTTCTGAATTGAGACAGATTGTATAAGTATGGAAACACAGAAGAAAGTAAAGCATTCCACAGTTGGCTGTGTGAGGAAAGACGTAATATCACTATTCATGAATGAATGCGTATTGGTCGTGTAATGACGGACGTAGTTGGTGGATAGGTTTGCTAAAAGTCATATAGTCATATAGATTGTCCGTTTCGAAACACGAGTTACCACGAGGGGTGTACAAACACATTTCCGAATCTCTATAAGTGAGGAGGAGCTCGCCAGTATTTGATAACAGAGGATTTAGGACAAGTAAAAGAAAATAAGGAAACCACGCAAATAAAATGGAAATAAATGCTGATGATGAATTTTAAAAATCTTTGTAAATTTGGAAATCCACATTTTGATAATGATGACATATTGATCTTCTCCAGATGAACATACAACTCTGCAGGTAGCCGGTGAAGCGGTTGAGGCTGTATTGTTTCGGGTGACTGGTGCTGACTGCTCCGTCATGCTCCTCACAGATGGCTTCACCTCGGCCACTGCTGTCTTCAGTGTATGTTAGCCTCAGATTCGCACTCAACCCACTGAGGACGTTTGTTTAAAGTATAAGTCTTGAAGGACGATAATTTAAGCTGGAGTCCTTAAGACATAATATCCACGTCCTAGCAGCGTTACCATCCACCGATTGTCAATATGACGTACTGTAACAACATAAACCTTTGTACATTGAGAATATCAGTTATTAGAATTATTCAACAGTAAACCAAAGGTGTGTGTGTGTGTGTGTGTGTGTGTGTGTGTGTGTGTAGGTGTGAGTGTGTATGTGTGTGTGTGTGTGAATCTATCATCCTACCCACATTATGTGTTAGTCCAGTCTAATTAGCACGAAAACCAACAAATAGCGGAAAAAATTATAGAGTTTAAATTTTGCCACATACTCCTGAAGGCTATGCAATAAAGATCAAAAGAGTTCCCCGCCTTTTTACTACATTTTTCCTATTGTTTGGGAAACGGTGCATCGGACGAAAAAAGTTTATATAAAAAAATTTGGAAATGAAATTTTGCACAAGATTATATATATATATATATATATATATATATATATATATATATATATATATATATATATATATATATATATATATATATATATATATATATATATATATATATATATATATATATATATATATATATATATATATATATATATATATATATATATATATATATATATGCATATATATATATATGTAAATCACTGTAGGTGCGCGTGATCCAGGTATATGCTGATAACACAACCTTTTCAGTAATTCACATCTTCAGGGGTGAGTCTGTACTCACCCTGAAGATGTGAATTACACGAAAGCTCTTGGGAACTTCGTGTTTTATTCTTTCCTTATCAGCATATATATATATATATATATATATATATATATATATATATATATATATATATATATATATATATATATATATATATATATATATATATATATATATATATATATATTTGCCCTAGGAGCTATAGTTTTGGTGTAAACAAGACCGGAAGTGGAAGGCGAGTTTGAGCGTAGATCCAGATATTTTTGTCTCGCGCTCAGTTTCCCATCAATAACTCTCAAACGACTATTTTATCATTAAAAATGCACATAAATGAAATTGTAGAGTAGGAAGTTCTCTATTTGGGTAGATGAGAGACAAGTTTTTATGAAGTTATATATGTTTTCTATAATTCAGTTTTCTTTTTCAAATGTGAAATAAATTCGTTATTCAATATGGCATCAACAAGCAATTGTTTTGGTTGCCAGAAGAGTTTAAATGAGGGTGAAACTGTGAATGTGAAGGATGGCATCCAAAATTAGAGACGTGTAAGTCAAAACCGAAAAGACGCTAATTTAGAGATGTTAAAGAAAGTGGACACAATTGAAATGCATTAAATTTGCAGACGTGAGTACATTAAGGAGAAAAATATAGCCGGAGATTAAAAAAACAGAAGCCTTAAAACAAAAACAGTGTACTTTGCAGTCAGAAGAAGAATTTGATTTAAAAAACAAGTGTTTGTTTTGTGGTGAAAAATTTGCTTTTGGTACAGAAAGGAAAAAAACAAACTGTGGATAAACGCGAAGCTTTGAGGGAAATAATACTCTGACTATGAAAAACAAACTACTGGAGAATGCTGGGCAAAGGAAAGACGAATGGGTGAGAAAGTATCGGGACGAGTTAACAACGCCATGTGCCTTGTAGCAGAAGAAGCGCGTTATCATGGAAAACCGACCATCAACTCTAAAACGAGGAAGGCCACAAGATGAACACATTGCTTCTGCATTTGAAAAAATTTGTTTGTATATTGATGACTTCGAGGAATGCTAGTTCTCTTTACAGGACTTGATGAAGAAACTTGAAGAAAATATGCCAGAATGTTGTCATTAACAGAGAAAACAATGAAATCGAAATTACTGAACACATAAGGAGATGGAGTGATGTTTGCACAGATGAAGAAAAGACCAACAGTTTGTTTCCGTGGCTCTGGACTGAAACTGATTAATACCTGGTACTCAGAGCGAGAGGAAAATGAGAAAGATGAGCGGTTAAGAATTGTATAAACTGCAGCATATATAGTTCGAGAGGACATTAGAACAACTGCTTATAGCACCACAGATTACCCAGAAGTCACAGACTTTATGAAAAATGCAGAAGATGTGGTTCTTAAGACACTGCATGCCTTTTGGATACCGTTATCCCAAAAAATAGAAAGAGCGAAAAGGAAAACGTAGGAAGACAGTGTACAGTGATCGTTCATTCAATAATTGCTGCAACCCGGCCACGATCGTTTCTATCTTCCATACGACTTGGTCTGTCAGCGTAATTATTTTGAGAAGTTGCTTCTAAAAGCATTGTCAACACAGTGACAAATTTGGGATTTTGTTCTACTTATAATGATGTCACATTGTTCGAGTCATCTGCTGTAACTTCTTGGAAACCTGATGTGGACAAAGATTTTTTGGGGTCAATACGTTTTTGACAATGCAGATTTTAACATAAATACATTAACTGGCAAAGGAACATTTCAGTCGATGGGTGGAATAAAATACATAACTCTATCAAAGAATATAATAAATCAGAAAATTACCAAATTGCGAACTGTTCGACCTTCAACAGAGATTGCAAAAACTGGACAAGTGAAAATACAAACTTTTCAAGGAAAATGAAAGGAACGTTTGAATGCTTTAAAACTGCAAACTGTGCACAAAGGTGAAGCTTGTACAAACGTTACAATCCCATCGCCAAAGGATGTTCCATGGCTGTATGAAAATTTCTGCATATCCCTTCTTTCCCACCATGGCGAGGTTTCATGGAAGCCATAACAAGTACTGTACCTTATGATCAGACAAAGATTCTTGCACTACCTTTCATTAATCTGCCACCGACAGAGTACAACTCAGTGCTAACTGCTTTGCAATTTGCTTCTGAAGAAACAAAGAAATCCAAACAAATGACGAGCTTTGTTACCTCTGACCAAACACTGTATATGAAAGCTAAGGATATAGACTCTACCTCATGGGTGGTGTGGAAATGAGTCTCCATTATATTATAAGGATAAATCAGAAAACATTTAAAACATCATAAACCTTGTGTCTCATCTACCCAAATAGAGTACTTTCTACTCTACAATTTCATTTATGTGCATTTTTAATGAGAAATTAGTCGTTTGAGAGTTATTGATGGGAAACTGAGCGCGAGACAAAATTATCTGGATCAAAGCTCAAACTGGCCTTCCACTTCCGGTCCCGTTTACGCAAAATATAGAACTCGTAGGGAAAAATAGAATATAGACAATCTTGTGCAGAATTTTAATTCCAATATTACTTTTTTATATACATCTTTTTCGGCCGATGCACCGTTTTCCAAACAATAGGGAAATGTAGTAAAAAGGCCCCCCTCAGGGGAGTTTGGGCAACCTTCAGTGGCGTTGCTTCAATCGGAAGGAGGGGAACTCTTTTGATCTTTATTTACATAGCCTTCAGGAGTATGTGGCAAAATTTAATCTCGTTATAATTTTTTTCTGCTAAAAATCCTAATTTGACTGGACTATGTGAAAATGTTTGGTAACACAGTTTAATGATCACCTTCATTGGATGATTGTGGGACTGTGGGGTCAACACATTTGCTTGTAGCTCAGAATCTGTATAAGAAAGCACTTCGGTAGCATTAACCATTAATACCATATTAATTGCGACTTCTGCGGATTAGGTGATGAAACAGCTGGTGGCCCCCTGGGGTGTAGGTGTGTTCGAGGTGGCAGTGGACGGCCAGGACGCTAACATGACGCAGGCGCAGCTCTCCCGGGTGGTCGACGAGGCTCGGCGGGTAGGTCACTCTCACATTACTACTGAGGTGGGTAGTAGGGTGTGTCATAGGAGGGAAGATCAGCTAAAACTAATGGCCCATCACTTTTTTGGTAGATTTTAGTGTATATAAACAGAAAATAATTTCAGTTTCAATATTTGGAACCTTTTGCTAGGTAAATTTTAGCGTGAAATTTATCGAAAATCTAACGTACAGCTGCATTAGTGCATTACAATTAAATAGTGAACATTGCTTTCTGACTTCATTCTTTAACAACCCAACTAACAATATTTTTTTCTGTTTCAGATTCTGATGCATTTATAAGTTGATAATATTTGCGATGGCTGCTTGTGTCAGGACGAGGAACCAAAAATCCAGCCATCTCAGTCACTATCTTGGGTCTGGGAGAGAGCTCCTGAAGTCGGAGTTGCCTACATTGAGAGATGCTTTGAGATACGGTGTTTTAATCAGGCAAATCAGTGAAAAAACCAAAGAACTTACACAAACAAAGACATTGCCAGTGATATGACCAAAGCTGTCTTGGCACAGTACACTCTGCTACGCTCAGCCTCAAGCCTCAAATAACAAGTCAGAAGAAGATTAGTGAGAACTGCTAGCCAGTTGGGAAAGGCAGTGATATCTCTCTTGGGAGAGGAAAACTTGCAGTTAAGGACAGTTGCCAAGCAACTGGACCAGTTATTTGACATAATTTTGCAAGTGCCCAATTGTTCTCTGTCCTGAGTTTGGATGCGATCGTGACTGTAAATCCGAGGCCCACATCTCCTGTATTTGCAAGCGTGAACTGAAGATTCCTGTGATCGAACTGGCATTTGTCAAAGCACAGAGAGAAGACTACAGGTTAGCTCTCATGATTTCTAGCCAAGATATTCCGGAGTCCAAGAGACAGGAGGCTGCCACAGAGAGACAGAAGAGGAGAAGAGTTGCCGAGGAAAAGAGACTTGAGAAGGCCCAGGGTGGGGTAAAAAAGGCCGATGATTGGAGTCAAGCTGATTCAGAGTTTAATGACTTCCCCATGGCTGATCCGAGTGCTAACCAGGAGAATGGTGACTTTGTCCCTAACCCAGAAAATAATGATCCCAAACCTTCCAGGCATAAGATTCGAAATAGGAAAGATATCCTGAGCATAGCTCTGGCCAGCATGCGACACCACACTGGTCTCAGGGAAACTGCAGAGATAGCAACAGCTGCCTGGGTTGACGGTGGTTTGATAACACCTGATGATGTTCACCTGGTGATAGATCATAACAAAGTAAGGAGAGCTCAGGAGAAACTTGTCAGTAACCTAGAAGAGGAGTTTGATAAGGGGATAAGAGAAAATGGAATCAATTGTTTGTTCTTTGATGGGAGAAGGGATGACACTAAAGTGTTCATGAAAGTTGGAGATTCTGACAAGTTGTTCCCTACCATGGTGAAGGAGGAACACTACTCCTGCTGCAGGAACCAGAGGGAAGTATTTGTGGCATTTCACTCCAGAGAAAGATGACATCAGGAAACCAGCTGGAGATAGTGGGCAGATAACATTGTGAACTGGCTCAGAGAGTGAACGTAGACCAGACCTCTGCAGGCCATTGAGGGGACCAGCACCAACACGAACACAGGGTGGCAAGGGGTCATATACAGTGGATAGAGTTGAAGATTGGGAGGAAGTTTTCGGTTCGATTGTTTGTGACCTCCACAACCAACGAGTTGCCACTCAGACATCTGGATCCAGGAGCTGGATGGCAAGACTCTTTCAAACAACAGATGGTTCAGTCCTCTTGGCAAGATGCTGACTCTGCCACTGAGTTAGAAATAAACTGAGTTTGAAAATCACAGTTGGCCCTCCACTCGTTGAGCTTGCACATACTGTCATTGACGACCTGAGTACTGACCAGTACTATGGTTACATGGTTTGCAGTGCCATCAAAACTCGGGTCATGCCTGATAGACTTGCTTACCTGCAGATAGGTCCAGTCTCACATTCTAGGTGGCTCACAACGGCTCTCAGGTTCTGCAGAATTTGGGTCGCTCATCATAAACTGAAAGGGAACCAGCTTCACAACCTGAGACTTATTGTCCAATTTATCGTGAGTGTCTACTTGCCAAATTGGTTCAACACCAAGGTCAAGTCATCGTTCTCCGAAGGTCCGGGGCATGTTCTCTTCCAGCTTGAGCTCCTGAGGAGTCAACCAAGGAAGGTTGTTCAGATTGTGGAGCAGACTGTGAGGAGATCTTCCTGGTATGCTCATCCCGAGGCAGTTCTGCAGACAATGCTCTGCAGTAAGGATGAGGAGGAGAGAAGAGTGGCAGTCAAAAAGATCTTGGATATGAGACTTATGAGAGATCTGGGCATGACGAATCAGTTGGTGACGATTCCTTCATAGGGTCAGGAAGACTCCTGAAGTCAATCTTAGGGTGCCAAGACCCCTCACTGATCTCATAGGATCTGATAACATCCAGGCTGGCAGGAGAGCCCCTCTTACCTGCAGCCTCACCACGTTCAAGTCAGAGCTTTCCTGGACAACCCCATGCATGTCCCTGCCTGGCCCTCGCACACCCAGAGTAGTAGAGCGTTGTGTACAGCAAGTGAGCGAGGCCAGCAGTCACGTGTATGCCAGGAGAGGAGGGAAGGCTACATCCGAGCTCAGGTGGTCAGCAGGGAGGTGATGAGAAACAGAAGCAAAAGAAAGACATAATTTCTATGGTGCAGCAACACCGGGTCGAAAGTAGTAAAACCGGTTTTTGTATTTGATGATTTTGTTTTCTAAAGGAATATTAAATTTAATAAATGTGTCAAGATCATTCGTTTCACTATTCTGGATCATTTTCATCCTAATAAATTAACCTGATACATTTACTTTACTTTAAATAAGCTACTTAGTGGTGTTGGTAAAAGGGTGGGAATACTGAATTTTCATAAGATTTCAAGTTAAAATTTACCTAGCAAAAAATGAAAACTTTTCAAATCTGAAGATATCACATGATTCTGCACATAGAACTACATCATTAATACCATGGGCCGATTTTTCAAACTCAAAAAAAAACAATTCGCCTCCGTATGACACACCCTAATAGGATAAGGCTTCTTATCTTAACTTAAAATCAGTGAATTCAGCCAGTAGGTTATCTAGCTCATAAGAACATAAGAACATAAGAAAATTCGGAGTCTGCAATAGACTGGTTGGCCTGTGCATGGCAGCTCCTGTCGAGAGTTACTACCACTCTCTATCATCCATGAATCTATCCAGTCTCCTTTTGAAACTTTCCAGCGTTCCAGCACTTACTACATGGTTGCTAAGCTTGTTCCACTCGTCCACCACCCTATTTGTGAACCAGTTCCTTCCTATCTCCCTCCTAAACCTAAACTTATCCAACTTAAATCCGTTGCTTCGAGTCC